AAATGGTTTCCTTTAGTTTATTTGTGCATAGAAGTTTTAATTTTACACATTTTAATCTGAACTAGTTGAGATCAAAATATTTTAAAGTGAACTAGTCCGTTATGAATAGTTCGAATCAAAATTTTAATTCTTCCTAGTTCATATTAAAATTTTACAGTGAACTAGTTGATATTGAAATGATTGTGAAGTGAACTAGTTCACTTTAAAATTTTAATGTGAACTAGGAAGAATTAAAATTTCAATCTGTCCTAGTTCGATTTAAAACTGAACTAGATTTTAATCTGTCCTACGACATATATATGAATGAACGAAAACAAAAAGTCAGTGAACAATTCGTCACATTCATCGAATATGAACTTTCTCGTCGAATTTGTTCATTTTGAGAGAGAAAAAAAAATATGCTGATATTTAAACATTGAATATTCTTTGATAGAATTTATGTTCATTCTTTCTTTTAATATAATACTGTAAAATAGACAAAAATTGTTTAATTGTTTCTTTTTCTGTTTTTATAAAGAAAGAATTTTTCAATACGGAAAACAAAATTTTGTTATTCATTTGTATGTTTTTTTTTTCGTTTTTACTAGAAAATAGTTTTTCTTATTTTATTATAATCAAGACGAAATTATTTTCATTTTATTATTTCAATGAAAAATTATTCAATGATAAGTAATTTCTGTTTTTTTATTTTCTTAAACAGTAATACTAATGTAAATTCTTACAAGAATTATTCTTTTGTTTTTTTACTTATGTTTTGATTTATTCTCTTCATGTATTTATGAAGAGTTTAACATAATCACTTTTTCTTTTTTAAAAAAAAACAAGAAAAGGTTTAGAAGTATAAATCTCCGTTTTTAACTAGATATATAATAATTTGTAAAGCTCGATGAACTAATCATGATGATATAAAATTTTCTTCTCTCAGAAGATTGTCTTTAAGAAGTTTCTTTGTTCGATCTCATTTTGCAAAGAAATCATTGTAAGCTATTATTTGGAATCTTTTAATTTTTATGTTATTTTAGTTATTTATATTAAAAGGTTTAGTGTTGAGAATGCTTCCTAATCTACTGTACATATCAATCCAATAAACTTGAATAGAAGTTCTAACTATGTCTATACTATCAATATTTCAATATGATTGATGTTATACATATAAGAAATTCAATTGTTTTCTTTTTCAAAACTGATTAAGATTTTTTGGAAATATTATTTAAAAGTAGAAATAATTAAAATCTTATTAGATATTTTATTTTCAAGAGTCTACATTTTGTTTTGCGTACATATTTAGTTGAAGAAAAGCAATATATCAGAGACAGACATCTGAAATGCGATCAATAGATATTTTTTATGTATATCTAATGTTGTTGAACATACAATTGTATTTTACAAAGAACTAAATAAATTTTGACACACAAAAAAAAGCAATTGAATTTCTTATATTGATATGCACAGTAGATAAAGGAGCATCCAACACTAAATCTTAAAATATAAACAACTAAAATAACATAAATATTAGAGGATCCTAAATAATAGCTTACAATGATTTCTTTCCAAAATGAAATCGATCAACAAAACTTCTGAGAGAAGAAAACTTTATATCATTGTGATTAGTTTATCGAACTGTATAAACTATAATAATCGGTTGAATATGGAAACTCATACTTGGAAAATTTTCTTCCTTAATAGAATTATTGATATTGGTTATTAAATACAAATAAAAAGTAAATGTTGTGTTAAATAACACATCTATAGTCAAATCTTGCTTAGAAGAAAAATGTCTAGAAATTTTAACAAAATTTTATTCATTATGTTTAGATCTTTGATTGAAATGATGAATATAAGAGAATAGAGTAGAATATGAAAAAAAGAAAAGATATATTATGACAAGAATTATTTATTTTATTTTCCTTTTTACGTTTTGAAATAAATGATAATTTCTAATTAAATAAAATAAAAAAGATTAGTTTATTTTTAGATAAAAATGATAAATAAATTAGAAATATTACCAAATGAAATCATTCTAAATATATTTTTATATTTTTCATGGGATGAAGTCTTAATATCGTTTTGGTCATTAAATAAACGTATTAATAATCTTATTTGTTCAATATTTGAAATAAATAAATATGGAATTATTTTCAATAGACCAGGTTTATCTTATAAAAAGTTTTCTAAACTATTATTACCATTAATATTTAATTCATTATCTCTTTCTTCTTCTATTAAATATATTCATTTTGATGGGCTAAATTCAATTTGTTTTAATTTAATTTATCAAGATATTTTTTCTTATAATGATAAATCAATTCTTCGTTTTCCTAATCTTAAATCACTTTATATAACTCAATGTTTATTATCTGAATCATTAATTCAAACATTATCTTTTCTTATTCAATATCAGTTAAATCAACTTACATTAACATTTCATCAAGATATCTATGAAACATTTAGTAATGAACGCGAACTTTCATCAAATCGTTCTAATCATGGTAATTAATAATTCATTTAACTGATCTTTTATAAGCAAGATATGATTTTATTGTTTGAAAATAAAAATCTTTCTACACTAGAAACTTATAGATGATAATGAGTTGATGATTAACCATAATGTCTCAATTAAGATAAGATCTAGAAGCAGTAGGGTGTCCCATTTCGAAAACTAATATTTGTCCTGTTGAAATATTGCACATCACTATCTTAAAAAGGTGTACGTTGAATAAAATATCAATTATAATATGTTTAATGAATGCATAACTACATGAAAGATATTTATGACGTAATAGTTTTAATGACATAAACTATTTCTATGAGAAAAACAAAATCGATTATCGTCAAAGGTTCGTCATTCGATGACTGTCATTGGTAGATCTATTCAGTTGTCAGAAAATTTTTACATCTTTTTTTTTTTTTATTAGCTTGAAACATAAGTTCTGCATATTTTGTTTTTTGCGCTTTAGGCCATAGGCGGCAGACTCGTTGAAGGTCAGAGACTTGAGTCTTATCTGGTTTTTGACCAATTGATGCTCAGTATCAACTAATTTTGAATTTGAAAAACAACGAAAACATACAATTTTTAACCTGCTTTTGTACTTCAGTAGTATATACCGAGCAGAGAATTACTGCTTCTCAATAATCAATTCAATATTCTCTTTCAATTATCAGCCGATATTAATTTAATATTTTCCTAGGTCTTGTTGATTTATCTATAAATTCGTGGATTTCTCTTTTAGTAATTTATAAAATATACAATAAATTCGACTTTTGAGATTATGTCTGGGACACTTTGTAATAGAGCATTCTTATGATGTCTGACACGATGTACAATGACAGGGAAAGGTTGTTAAGATGTCTATCATAGTCTGTGGAAGGAGAAGGACAGTTCCAAAATGTTCAATCTATATTTCAATACTCCTTTTTGGTTTGTTTTAAAAAAAGAGGATAGACGATTGTTATAATTATTTCATTTTAGCAAGATATATTACGTGATTTATGTTAATTTCACGTTGATAACTTTACAAATATATTCAAAGACTTTGCTCACTTATGTCTATAAGTTTTCTCTTTTTCTGAGTAATTTTCTATTATTTAGTTAAGAAAGTTTTATCAATAATTGTTCGTTGAGTTCCTCTATGTTTTAATATGTTCACAAAAACAATATATTTTTGATAATACGTTAGATTTGAACAAGAATAAATCATTAATATTAAATAATTTGTAAAAAAGAAATCATTATTTTTTGTTATGATCGATAGTCTGAATAAAAAGAATCAAAAGTAATTCAGCAAATTAATTATCAATCTTTTTTCTAATTATAATATCTTTCGGAACACTTCGACAAAAAAATTATCTGCTATTTAATTAATACAAAGAACAAAAAAAAGATTTGTTTTATTACTTTTTTTATTTTTGTATTTCCAAAGAGGAAACAGCTGATTTCATGATTCCATTATTCTCATTGATTGCATTGATTCTAATTGATTATGCCGCTCGGAATCAACTGTTTCTCCCTTGGCCTATACTATAAAGTAGCTAAAGATCCTCATAGATATACCCATAGGTCCTTAAGGTCTATTACATAGAGGTACTCATAGGTCTTCAATGGGTATTGTACAGAGCTACCAAAAAGTTCTAAAGTGCTATTATATAGAGAAGCTCACAGGTCCTCAAATCCTATTATATAGGGCTACACAAATGTTGTCAAGTTCTATAATATGCGGGTACCCATAGGTCCTCTATGCTATACTATAGGAGTACTCATCAGTCCCGAAGTTCTATTAGACGGAGGTACGTATAGATCCTCAATGGCTACCCGTATAAAATAGACCTTGAAGACCTATGAGACATTCCTACCGAATAGCTGGTAACGATTTATGAATATTCAAACATGATAGCCCTTGACAACCCATAGGTAACTATACAATAGACCTTTAGAATTTATGCATACTCTGTATAATAGCAGTCGATGTTCTATGGGTACCCCTATTTAAAAGGCTTGAAGAATTTTGGATATTTCTACAGTATAGGCCTTAGGAACGTATGAACGGTTCTTTGTAATAGCTCTTGACCACCTATGAGTACTTCTATATAATAGCCCTTGAGGCCTTTTAGTTACCCCATAGTATAGACCTTGAGAAGCTATGGTTTCTTATAAACTACCGATAATTTAATGAATGATATATTAGTTAAATATATACCCAGTCTGATTGGTACCTAGTTAAATGACACAGATGCATATGTCGTTAAGGATGGTCCTCTTTCATATAGGCCGAACAATCGCATGTTTTGGTTGGATTATAAGGGATAGAAAGAGACAATATAAAAAAATGAATCAGAGTGATTCCATAACGATTCTGAGTAATTTCGAATGATTCGTATGGATTTCAACTGATTTCAGGTGATTCTGTTGTCCTAGAATAAGCTGTTTCGCGCTTAGATGTTTTGGTAACGTTTATAAATAGAAAACATTATTGTTGGTAATCCACTTCTTTTTAAGTGAATAAAAAGATTACATTTGAAATGTGATAATGATACAAATAATTTTTTTTTTGTTTCTTTTTTCTCTTATGATTAAATAGAAAAGATAAAAAGTATGTTTAAACAAATTTTATGTCAAATATTTTCTAATCAATGTCACTTAACTTCTCTTCAACTCGATATAACAAAATTATCTTATGAAATTCATCAAAGTTTAAATTCCCATTCTTATGTTTCAACAAACAAAATTTCTAATGAATTTCCATGGTATTGTATAACTTTGCGTCATTTATATATTCATCTTAATCACATATGTTTTCTTGAACATCTCATTGAATATGTACCCAATCTTGAACAATTATCGGTTCATTTTCACAATTCATTAATTGATAAGTATTATCCTAATTCCAACATTAATATATTGAAATTATCAAATAAAAATTGGTTTAATAAAGTAAGATGATGCATTTTAGATTATTTTAGTTATTTGTTCTTTATAAAACTCTTTAATTAAATTTTACCTCATACATAAATATTAGTTCATGTTAAGTTTTTTTTTTTGCGTTTGAATAATCCGCCAAACGTAGTACTATAAATGAAGTTACTCCAATCAATACAATGAATTTATTATTAAATTAAATAGTTTTTTAAAGAAAAGTGTAAATTTTCTTTGTTGACATCATAATTCAGTAATATGAAAAATGTATGATTGTTAAACAATGTGAGTATGAATAAAATAAAAGTTCGAATTGATTTTCGATCATTTCATCAATTAATCGTCAAAAGACGATAAAATTCGGTTGCTAATATAGTTCATTGTGTTGATAAACAAACAGGATAAAGAAAAATGTTGAATCATTTGATCAATAGACAGTCAAGTAAAGAACATAATGTAATTTTAATTAAATGATATATTTTACTAGAACTTATTTATTATAAATGTAAGAGAGAAATAAGTGAAGTGAAAGTTCGAAGGTCATTGTAGTTTGAAATGAATATTTGTTGGATTCTTTTAGAATTCGATAGATCCTGGAATGAATAGATCTGAATGTAATAATATCTGGCAGAATTTATTGGAGTTATGTATTTATTATTTGCATTTAAGTCGGCAAAACCAAACTCTTTGATGTAATATAACGTACAAATCTTCAAAAAAGATTATTTACTCTTACATCAGGTTAAAATGTTATAGTATAAGTACATATATAAAATATGTAGATACTACAAAGTCATTAATAACAGTATTTATAATAATAGTTGTCTTATCATCCCATTATATTCATCAACTTTAATATCTATGAGGCAATGATAATAATTCGTGATTGGAATAAAATATTGAAGATAAACAAATAAGTCAAAGCCAAATACTTGATATAACAGTCATAAACTTTACTTTTGTTTTGTACATTGAATTTTTAGTCCTGTCCGATTACATATTAACTTGAAGATAAGAGAAACATTAAAGATCAAAACAAATTGAGTAGAAATGAATCATAACTAAGTTGTATAGGTCGCGGTCCTACTGTAGAATAGGAACACTCTTATACTGATTGATATACTGAATACAGCAACCAGCATGAGAGTGAGAGCGAAAGTCTTCCTATTTTGTAGTAGTATCCTTATAATATGATTATGAATCATAAGTGGTGAAGTCATTTCGTTCAAATTCTTCACTAGTGTTCGGACTCGGATTGGGTCAGACCCTCAGGTCAGGTCACAAACAAACATATTTCACCTCGAGTCGGGTCACAAAATGTATACAAATTTCGAACTTCACATAAGAAAAACAAAAGTTTTAGAGGAGATAATGATTTCTTTAATTCGAATATCAAGAGAATATAAATCAATTTACTGAGAAGATTGACAATGCCGGAAAAAAACTCATTTTGGTTGGCTAACAACATATTCCTCACAACGGATCTGGTTGGATTAGGAAAAAAATTTTTGAGTTCGAGTCGGGCTGAAATTTCAGATAACTATTTCTTAAGATATTGTAAAATTTTAGATTTCAAAAAGAAAATTTTCATAGCAATTTCACTAAAGAAATCTGATACTTTTCAAAAGTGGAAAGTCACGACCTACTTCCGGATCTTCTTGATGGTCACATCTTTGAATCCATATAAAGTTCTAGTATTGTTGAAAAATTTACAAAGTTTAATAAAGGATAATTATAACATCAATGAAGAAAAAGTTTAATTGCGCTTTTCTTTCGTTGGACTGTTGTCTATTAGAAATAATTTTTTTTGTATTAGTTTTCTTAAAGATGAAGGAGAAATTTGTGTTCGATACTTGAGTTTTTTAAGATTTGCGCCAATAAATTTGTTATTAGAGAATGATCTTTCAATCATGAAAATTGACTTTTTCCGATTATGTTAAAAATTTATTTTCTTAGTAATCTATCAATTTTTTGTCAAGAATAAAAAACTCGAATTTTTTCTTAGTGAATTTCTATTTTCACTAAAGTGACATTTAAAAAAAAAAGAAAGAAAACTATTCAATGTTAACTTTACTGATTAATCAGATAATTAATTTTGATACATCCTAAGAGTAAATCGAATTTAAAATTAACAAAATGAATTTTTTGAAATGATCTTTAAAAGAAAATTATTTTTAAAATAGATACCAAAATTGAAATGTTTTACATTAAAAAGTTTTATTTATACGAATTTTGAATTTACTTATTTAAAATGGCTTCTTAATAATTTAAATCATATTATTAAATTACAAATTCATTTATATAGTAGATATATATGGAAATCTGTTATTGATGCAAATTTTATTCGTCAATATTGTTTACCTGATGAAATAATTAATTTAAAATATTTTTATTTTTATATTTGTGCAAAACGTCAATCATCATTAAATAATATTTCAGAAATAATTAATTCTTTTAAAATAAATTCTTTTTTTATTTCACATCAATGGACAAATGTTCATTGTTTTTACGATGAAAATACATCAAAGCAACATATATTCTCTTCTAATCTTAAAAAATTTCAACATTCTATTCTTTTATTGTAAGAGATTTTTTTTTCTTTACTTATGAAAGTTTTATGAAATTATTTTTCTGTTTATTAAGTAAACATTCATATATATATGAATGGTCTAATATTGAACATATTCAGAATAGTATTCATCCATCATTCTATTTATTTCTTAAACAATTCGATGAATTATGTCCTAATGTTTCTTCAATGACAATTGATATAGGTAAATATTTTTTTTTTCCAAATGTATTTCTCAATGATCTTTATAAATATGATGATCAATGAAAAAATAAATAAGTAATCAAATTCAATAAATTTGATTACATATTTTTAACATTATTCTGTCCAAAGATGTAATCAATTGATACAGTTCAAAATTTTGCATTTATCAAAATTGATTTTTATGATGTAAGAAAAGTTAGCAGCCGATTCGAGTTTCTTTCAAAACGATTCATCCCATTTAGTGAGCCACTCATAAGATATAGCTCATTCGATGCACCTTAATGCGCTCTATCGAATGGTATACGTTTCATTGAAATGAAAGCAAAACTCTGGATACAAGATGCCTGAAATGCTAGAAATCGAGATCCGGAGCAGTAGAGTCCGTGATGATTCGCTCCACTTTGTCAGCCAATCATGAGACATAGCTCACTTGGTGTAGCTTGATGAGTTCTATCGATTGGTATATATTTCGTTCAATTGAAAGCAAAGTATCGCGAGCTAGGATTCCCTGAGTACCCCAAATCTGGATTTTGCACAGTTTCTTGACTAACGATTTGCTCTTCTAGTTGAGCCACATAGAAAATGATATAATATAATTGTGATTGATCGTTAATAATTTCTTATTAGAAATTATTTTAGTTGGCTCAATTTCTTTATATCTTTATTATCTGCTATATCTCAATTATTTTTATTAGCTTGACAGGAAATTGAGAAAATCCAATATTAAAAAATACAATGAAAACTCAAACAAGTTTTGAGAAATTCAAATAAATCATATAATTTTTCAGTTA